CAACGCCACTCCTCTAGCACCTCTCGGGCCCAGCTTTCGTGTCTCCAATGAAAAATCCTCGGATTATAACTACCTGCCCGTGCCGGTCTCGTGATGACCCTGCCGATATCAGATAATACCCACTCTCTATGATGCCATCCCTTTTCCTAAATTCCTGTGCCCACAATTCCCACCAGTCATGCTTTTTTGGTCGGTAACATTATTATCGTACCTGACAATATGCCACCTACAATCTAGGGAAAAATATTATTATCATTATTATCGCTCCAGGACCCCCTGTACAGCAGATGGGGAGGAGTTGGTGACTATAAGCCCAAAGGTGCGTTTGCTTCCCTCTGCGCGTAACCACTCAACGTACGTGGATCCGCTGTTAAGCTTTGTGAGAGCACCGCTGCGTCGGAGATCCGGATGACTTTCTCTGCAGCTGACTGACCCGGGGTGCATAGTGCTAGGTACACGTTCAAGGAAGAGAGTTCATTATCGACTTTTTACATGGCTGTTTGGGTCTTTGTGTTTGCTTTTCTGAGAACTTGAGAAAGAAGTTTTAGTTTTGCGTTGACTTTCATGATTAGAGCAGAACATTTGCACCGTTATTCCCAATTCAGCATTGAGGACTTGGTTTTATTTTCGGTAGCTCGGTTCTAGTTACCTAATGCTCAGCATCCTTGAGACGGAGGCAGTTGGCGCAGATGAACGGGTCAGCAAAGTTAGATAACTGCCCTATAAGTCGTTCTCCAAATCATTTAGGGCGCCGGCGGGCCTTGCAGATATGACATTACATACCACGTCCTACATTTGATAGACACCTAGTTCGTCGACATCTTTTGTGGCTCATCGACAGCTGCAAAGAGCAGTCTGTATTGCTCCGGCTCGTGACTGAGTCAGGGCGACATGCCAGGCCCGCGTGAAAGATAATAGAGTTTACCGCGCAGAGGTTGCAAGAGTACGATGTTCAACAAAATGACACGTGTTAACTCCAGAATTGACTAAATAAAAGGAGAATTATTTCAAAAATGTTCACAATCGAAAAATGAAAGCGATTTTGAACGTCTTCTGCTGACAAAATTTCGATTGCGGGCCGCTGTAAAAATAATTTATAATCCAGTCTGCACGGAGTCCACAAATTTTTGCAAAATTCAGCTGAGAAGCGGCGCAATGCCCCGGATATACAGGTGTGCATAGAAAAAATGTCACGGCCGAAGTTCGAACCGCAACGCCCCAAACGGCTGGTACGCCTGCTGACCACCACGCCATGGGGCCCATCACTGACCTGTCAAAAATAGACGCGAATACGCTTGATGGTAATCCTACAGAATTTAGGAAGGTTCTCAAGTGAGCCCGCCGGCTATTTGACGTCTGTAACGAGTTGATGTTTCTTTTCCACTATTTCTCTGCGTGGGCGAGGGGGCGAAATCAGCGTAAAACCTCAACCGGAGGGTGAGTACTACAAAATTTGTGCATCTGACCAGGACTATATCGTTTAATTCTTTGGAGCCCGACGTATGCAACAGTGTTGGCGTCAAAAATCAGTTTAAATCAGAGAAGTGAAAGTGCATGGGTCGGACAGCAACCGTTAACTTTCCTTCTGCTGCATCTGCCCATTCAACTGTACAGGAGTGCGGGACACTGAGGGGCTTGCCACTTTTTGGGATCCAGATCATTTTGGGAATTCTCACGGAAAACACATCAGTGCACAAGGTGAACCAAGCAAGGCCAATAATCCAAAAATTTTGAGGCTCTCCCTCAATTTGATGTGGTTCCGGAAGTATGGGGGCAACGGCAACAAGCTAGATGCTGACGTCCAGGTAAGATGTTAGGCTGGAATAGGTAAGATTGAAAATGCTCTGAAGAAAGAATAATCTGTCAGCGAAGACTAGGAAGATGAGGATGGGAAGGATGTAGATGACGATAATGATGATGAAGAAGATGAGAGCGTTGAATCAGAAGATGGGTTGGGGGTGCTAGTGATGACAAGATACCGGTGATAGGAACGAAAAAAGGGTAATCGTACTCCGTTCAACTAGGAAACCAGGACAGAATATATCGTGGCTCAAACTGGTAGAGGAGATAGATCTTCACCTCCAAAGAATGCAGGGCCCTCAGTGCAAGAGATTTCGGTTGCCTCATTCGCGAGGATTACGAGGGCAGGTTCAGGGTTCTAAGAAAATTGTCACTGGTATCCACGGGGACGTTCTAGACATTTGGTTGCACGGCCTAGCATTTATGTAATGCCCAGAGCAAATGTGGCCGGAATTGAATGTTAAATGACCTGCCGACAAGACACTGGGCCCCGGAGTCGAACGGTCTAACGTCCTGAACATTTCCTTGGAAGACTAGGCATTAGAAAAACTGCCCTCTTACTATTTTTCGTGAACCATAATGAAGCAAGCCATAGTGTCGATGGCGCGATTCAAATTTGCCTCCATGTAATGTAATGTAAAAAAGAGAAGTTTGTGCGTTTACTTGGCGCTCTGTGGCTTGACGTATTGAGAGTGGCATAATATTCAGTATCGCAATACGCACAATGGCACGCCTTTCAGCAGTCAGATAATAACCACGCGGGAGAGCCACGTCCTGAGGTGACCCAGGATTTGAAATGGCGATTTTTTTACGTAGACGTTCTCTAATAGTGCCTAAAGGACTGATACGTGTCGGTGAAAGGCTACAGAATAGTTGTTTGTCTCAATCACGCAAACTTTCCACCATGCTCACTAGTCGAAAACCGGTGACCACCGCTTAACCGGACACTTCCGTGCGTTGAAAAAACACATTGGCCCGATGCATATTTTAGCTGTTATGCATCAGAAATTTTGGGTTACCAAAGGAGTGGCTGCAGTTTAAGGGCTTTCGACAGGCCTTTGTCATGTCAGGCAAGGCCGATGATGCGTGCGGAACAATTAGTATCATCCTAAGCAGCCTTTTTGTACGCGACAGACGACAGACTATGAAGCGATACGGGTGTAACTCCCTTTTGAGTACTCGTGCACTACACATGGAGATAACTCTCCTTATCGACTGACTCCTCTCTCATAGAACTTTCTCGTATGGTTGACCACTGCGATTCATCGGATAAATGTAATGATGAAGACAGTAACTTCATTGGGGCCAGGCCAGAACTTCGGCGATCGCTGTAATTGGAAAATCGCAATCCCCTTAACGAGGGGATGCTAGCCCAAAGGATCGATCTGGCCGCCGAGTGCTGAGTACGGTCTCCTGCGAGCATGTGTTGACTGACGAAACTTTTCCCGCTTTTCTCATTGACTTGAAGTGTTTTTCAACTAGCTAACCACTGGCACCCATCTACGACGATGCAGAATCACTAAATATGATGAGCCCGAGTTACTTGTAATTTTTACGGAAACGGTCAGATCAATCGGGAGACGGGAACGCCTGGAGTTAATCTGCCTCGCGTTTAGATGGATACTGTGACATACGTAGTGGTTTTGCTACCGGAAAGCTACGTTTCCAGGAGTGTGTGGCCAAGAATAAAAACAATAACGCTAGATTGTATATACAATAATAAAGAGGTCAGATGGATTAGGATCACTAACAATTGTTCTCCTTAAAATAGTTCGTCATTGGCCCAGGTTAGCGAATAAACAATAATCTGTTCATGGTTGTCCAGGGGTATTCTTATGAACAGTTCTCATTTGTGGATTCCGAAGATAGTCTGAAATGTTGTGATACCAGAGTTGGCACATGAGACTCGCGAATGACCTCTGCAAACGCGATCGAAATCGACAGAGTCGGAGCACGTGACCACGTTTGTATTGGGTGGAATTGTACAATTGCGCATTTCCTTTGTAGTTTTTCGTATTCAAACAAAAAACGGTTATGCAGTTGACGAGATACGTAATGTTATAAAGAAAGCGAAATAGAGATACAAAATACCACACATGCATCGGAGGTTTATTCTTGCGGCCATTTGAAGACAAGCACTTGCACACCCGACCTCTTATATCCCGGTAAAGGCTCACATGCTTGAGCTGTTCTTTATTAAGCAAGCCGGTATGCAGGACATATTCTGAGCGCAATCAACACAGAGAGGAAAAATTCCGCGTTTCGAAAAGTGCCCAATGTGGTACGTTTCGCACGGATGAGGAAATTGGACGGTTCACCGCATTTTGATTAAACTATCCCGCTGTTCTGCGAAATTTCCTATCATGACCACCCACGTTTTTTCTAGGCTTTCAGATTACCCTGACCATGCGTTATTTATTGGCACCTCTTAGCACGAGGCTCCCGCGTCTCTCCAGAATAGTCGCTCAAGTCCGACCCAAGGATGACGTCCACCTCACTTAAATTTATTCACAGGTACTTTCTACCACCGAAATAAGCGCATCTGTTCTGAACTCTGAACAAGTTTCGCTAATAACCCCCTGCTCAACGGAATGAACATGGTTTTCGTGACCCTTGTAGCTATCTATCGGCATTGGTGGCGGCAGCACAACCCGATACAGCCTTCACGCTCCGATATGGTGGAGAGAAGAAAAACGGATTTTCGGAACTGACGAAGTTGGAGTAGAAATGGTGCTTTGTTTTGTACTCTTTTTTGGACCCAGTAGGGAAAGTTCGACGCATTCGCTCTCATGTTTACCCATTCTCATCCATTATGGACCTCCACTGTTGCTTTCACTCCTTTTCAGCCTCGACGACGCACTGACTATTGGAATGGTTACTCTGCGGACCAGTTTTTTCGCTGAGCTGGACGATTTGATTACAAACATTTCATCACCAATTGGAGTGACCTCACCAGTGCGTTGGTAGTATGTGGTGGAGCGTGGCGTTTGATCGATGGCAGCCTGTGTGTTGTGACCATGTGACTCCTCGTTTTCCCGTGTAAGATAAAGTGGCACATCGTTTGTCACTTCTAGTCGTCCTGTGAACCTGTTCTTTCCTGTCATCTCGTTTTCAAACCGTCCAATACTTCCGACGTATCTTATCGCATCAAAATTTGACCTTAGTCATAGTTACGCGTTCGAAACTTTCAAATATTCATAATGCATGACTTCGTGAGCAGGGATGCACCTCAACCAGTAGGTGCTAAAGCAGGTGCATATAAATCAGGCGATATTCATTATAGAATGTCCAAAAAGATCGCACAACTCACAAAGGTGTGTTTGGACTACTAAAAATACTTAATGCTTATACTTCTTAGGTTATTTATATGCTCAATTGCAAAAAGGAAGATGTTGATATTTTAGTGAAAGAACTCCAAATGCTACATAAGGAAGAAATATTAGAACTACAGCGAGCAAGCGAAGTGAAGCTGAAAAAGTACAGGGCCTTCGCGAAAGAGAGCTATGAATCAAATTTAAAGCAATCTCAGTTGTCATCAAACATGGAAAGTCTGCAAGAAAAACTAAAAATGCAAAAAGAGGTATCTCACCAAAAACGTTTTTCACCCTCTGAGACCTGTCTATGATATAGCTAAGCTCTGTTAAAACAATATCGCACACGTCAATCCGCGTATCACGAACTTTTAAATTATATGATTCAGGTTTGGAAGCTCTAGCCCGAAAGAGGAGACATTCCACTGGGCAGGCACGAAGTGGAGCTACCAAGGCTTATATAAACTCCTTTACCCGACTGACGGCGCTCAACTCATAGTGAGCCGCGGACAGTGGAGGGAGATGAAACTACTCCGTTCCTAACCACAAAATCCCCAAAGGCCCTGAAACACCGCTGAAAATTATAAGACCCCGGGACCACAATGAGTGTATATCCAAACACTATGCGCGCTCATGAGAACATTCCACAGTTTGCGTCCTAAACTGTTCAGCCTATTCACATGGACGTTCATCTAACCAGCGATTTAGTGTGATTATCTCGGTTACTTCCACGTTCCGAAGACCAGGTGCATCAGCTACATATAGTATATGATTGGACTCTCCAATGTATCTTGAATGTGGGGATTATATTTGTGGGAACAGAGTTCAGCAAGTATGGGCAACTGGTTTCATAAAACTTTAATGATCTTAGGCTTGTGAACTGGATTTTAAGAAACTAATTAAGAACGGTTTTCGTACTTCTCTAGTGTAGAAATCGAGTATATCGGTACAACCAGACGAACTAAAAATTCACAATTCACTCATATTTTAAGTGACACGTGTGTATCCGAACTGATGTATATGTGCAGCATCTGGAATATTAAGACAAGAGAATAATGAATAGAGCAATGAACAGAGCATCAGTCATGTGCATTACCTTTGCCATGAGCGTGTGGCTGTTTAATGTTCAGTGGTGGTCTCGATCGAAATATTTCGGATCTTCCTGGATTAAAACTTTCGCCTCCTCTCAGTTAGTTTGTTTTTCAGAGATAACCTTTTGTTCGGATACAACAAGATCTTCTACAAATGATTCAGTAGTAGTTAAAACAGCGGGAGTACCGTTGACAGACCTCTGGTATGGAACTCAACCTGATCGATGTGTCGCCGGTGACAGGAGAGATCATACTGAGTTCAATACTAGATGTCAGTCTGCTGATGGCACTGCTGTTGTTTCAAATGCTAATGGATCATTTGTAGATCGCTTTGTTGTATCCAAACAAAACGTTACCTCTGAAGAACACATTAACTGAGAAGAAGCGGAAGTTTCCAATCCGAGAAGACCCGACAGATTATGACCAAGACCACCTCTGAACTATAAACAGCCACACGCCCATTCAATGTGTGGCAGAGTTGATGATGACTGATGCTACAAGAAAGAGTGCCAGGAAGATTTTTTCACGCAAGACAGATTCACAATGCACGTTTAAGATCGTTATATGGATGAAATATCCCGAGCTACTCCATTGATTTCCGTCTGAAAGCCACACAATCAATAAACTATGGTTTCCAACCGGATGTCCGGTGAACCAACTGCTGGCACCAAATGAATAAGGAGTCCAGGCGGTTTCCGGTTGGCAATCAGAATCAGAACAAAACCACTCACTGGTACGGTGATTTTGAGTCGGAAGCTCGTTCTCTTTCGGCGACTGCAGTTCAGGGAGCTTCTTAACTTCCAACATGATCCCAGCTCTAACACTGGGAACGTCTAGGCAAAGTGTGGATGTCCATCATTACACAGTCAAATATCTGTAGTTTTAATAGAGACATCGTCCTGTAATGGAAGAAAATTTAGGCTGATAGTCCAAGGAGCACCGCACAGCTGTGTATTATTATTGAGAATTGTCATCAGCAGTGTGCACCTCACAGTGCTTTGTGGAGTTTCAAAGTTTCAACATCCAGACATTTCAAGCACAATCGTCCGGGCACAAGTGGCTGATCGGTAGTGTAATAGGTTTGCACATAGGATAAGGCGTCACCTATCTTTTGGTCATGACGATCACATCAGTGCTCATGTGTTGACATGTAACGATTTCCTAGAGGCAAGATTTATTCCTCACATAGACGATTCTAATTCTTTGGGTTACTTATGAGTTGTTGTAGTGCGGTGAGAAATTTTAAAATTTGCGAAGGAGATCTCGTCCTGTAATTGAACACTATTTATCTGGAAAAGCTGTTTCATCCTCACTGAAAATCGCGCATATCTCACAAAATTCCAGAAAGTTCAGGATCCTAAGGATGCCACACCACACTGGACGTAAGTAGCTAAATCTCAAAAACCTTGCCCCGACCAACTAAATCGACCCGTCCGTATATCTCCTTTAAGCTTATCCTCTTCTCGTTCCTGTTTTCTGTAGGAACAGCCCAGCCCACAGTCCCGACGTTTTTGTCTTCCAACGCTGGTCCTTTATTTCTCAAAAGCAGTGCGTGCTCCGGTCAACCTGTCTTGTAGAACGTTTGTGGTGTTAGATTTGTTCTAGAAAGTGAAAAAAATGTTTGGAAGAGATTTAGGCGCTTATTGTGTATCTTTTAGCCTCACGCATGATCTAAACCCAGACGTTTTTATCGGCATTGTCGTTCGATTTTGAATTTATTATTATCTCCTTCGTTGCATGTAATAAATTTGTACAAAACTAGTAGAGGAAAAATGCCCGTTCTAAATATTCATTCGCCATGTACTTATGATAATTTACAAACAAATGTGGCACGCTAAGCGCTCCGATGGACAGATAAGGATGATGAGACGGGTTTTTTTTACAACTATTATACCGATTTGACTTCACATGTTTTTCATTACTTGTCTTTACGGCGGTTCAGACATCAAGCGTCGTCATAATTATAAGAGGCAACAACATCAGAGTTTATAGTGATAATTCCCAGTCGTGCGAGAACAAAGTTTATCTAATTATACTTAAAGTCTTAAACTGACTAGAGAAAAGAGTGTACGACGGAAAGACGTGAGGATTGTTCTGCACACACATGCTGTATGCGATAACACCACATCCAGACAGTGTAGATTAAAAGTGGCAACGCAAATTCAGTAGATTTTGGTGTGCTCCTGCAACTAGTGGCGTTTGTAGCCTAACAAAAGTTTTATTTCAACCTCATCCAAAAAGGTGATTTGCATTCACGGCGGAGGAACTCTCTATAGTAACGTGTCTTTGGGTCACGGCAAGAAAAACAAAGCATCTTTGCTAAGCATTCACCCAGCACGCAAAACCTCTAACCAGACCACCGGGTTTTCTGGCGCAGTATGTTTTTAGATGATGTAACACATCAAATAACACTGCTGACTTAGCTTGAAACACTTTTTAATGCATGTTACTTTTCTTAATAATTTAGTATTAAAACCAGGTTGACAAAATTGGAGCAAATGGAAGATATTTATTTTAATTTGGAAGAATATTAACAAAACAGAAAACGCAATCAAATGCAGGGCAATACTTGGATTCAGCAAAACGACGTCGGAAACAGTAGTATGGCAAACTCCGGTGCTCCGCCAAAAAGCCTTCATTATAGCGTCCGAAACTGCAGTATTCTGGTTAAGGGGGCCTCAACTTCAATATTGGCATGGCTTTCTTCACCTAAAAGCGTGTCGGTGATTTTATTTACCTTTATTAATCCATTTTTTACTTTTCCGCTTGAATAACAGAGCATTTTTTGTTGTTTTACACGTATCCACGTTTTTGGGTACAGAATTAAAGAAAACCGTGTTAGAAACAAATGACAAACGCTTTTTGGTGTACGGAGAAACGCGAAGCCATGAATGCCTACTAGTCTGACTTCTTTTAGACTGTGGAAGAGTAATTTTAGCGTTCCAAAGTCTTAAATCGGGTTGTTATACTTGCACAATTGTATTGTATTGTATTGTATTGTATTGTATTGTATTGTATTGTATTGTATTGTATTGTATTGTATTGTATTGTATTGTATTGTATTGTATTGTATTGTATTGTATTGTATTGTATTGTATTGTATTGTATTGTATTGTATTGTATTGTATTGTATTGTATTGTATTGTATTGTATTGTATTGTATTGTATTGTATTGTATTGTATTGTATTGTATTGTATTGTATTGTATTGTATTGTATTGTATTGTATTGTATTGTATTGTATTGTATTGTATTGTATTGTATTGTATTGTATTGTATTGTATTGTATTGTATTGTATTGTATTGTATTGTATTGTATTGTATTGTATTGTATTGTATTGTATTGTATTGTATTGTATTGTATTGTATTGTATTGTATTGTATTGTATTGTATTGTATTGTATTGTATTGTATTGTATTGTATTGTATTGTATTGTATTGTATTGTATTGTATTGTATTGTATTGTATTGTATTGTATTGTATTGTATTGTATTGTATTGTATTGTACTGTATTGTATTGTATTGTATATTTGTAGTATCCATATACATTTGGTGTGTAGTTTACGCACACGTATATGTATATTCACCTGGCATAACCATTGAAAATGTTAACCAGTTTTGTTGCATGTAAATTTCTGGGCTTATGTGGTTGATCCAGGCGAAAACCAGTAAGACAAGTAAGTGGGTGAATGAAAGGACGCGGGGAAATACACAGGAACAGAGAGACGGATGGGATTATACTTGAGGATACCGATATGTCTGGTATGGCAAAACTCAGCGAGTCTTCTTCAACAGCGAATAGGTTCAAGACTTATTTTAAAATGAACTTCTATTCAAAATGAATGGTAAATATCAGCGCTTTCACAAACTACTCCACATTCCAAGCTTCAAATAGAGAAAAGTACTCAACATACCACGCACTATGGGCAACCATACGGTACTACCTAACTCTAAAATATTCTACAGACACCCCGCATCTGAAACTAACAGTAAAAAGTGGAAATGATTTTCCAGACTTCTAAAGTAGTTGTCCTCTGGCAACAACCTGATTTAAACTGGTCTGCACTGAGTTAGGGAAAACATACAACTGTTGCGCAGTCTACAGTGCCATAGACGTCCACAACACGCGAAAATTTTATTGAAATTGTCGATTTGCGTAATAGAGGTCAATATCCCCAGATAGTGTTGTACCTTGTATCTGCTGCTCGTATCTGCTCCGGAAAAAAATCGTTTAAAACAATAATGTAGAGTATGTCTTTCTGTGGTAGGTTTTATTTTAAAATCTTTGAACAATTTAACTTGAGAAAGCTAAGCCACCGAGAGCCTTATCTGAAATACGTCTGCCGTATTACTGCACATTTCGGTCGCCGATAAAGAACGAGTAAGCGGAGACCGAGACATTGCCCGGACTTTCACGAGCGCTCCCCCTAGATGGTAGAAGCCTACCATTCCGTGGCATTCTCCAGTGCTAAATTCAGTCTTTGGGTTTCTAAGGGTTTGATTCTCACTTGAAAGTGGGTTTCAGGGTAGTACAATCTGTGTCGAAAACCTTTTAATGACAAATAAAATTCAGTGACCGAAGGCGTTAAATCCTTGACATCAGCGGTGTCATAATAAGGTGATGGCTATTGACGCACTTCCTCTGAGGTCACCAGATATTTTCTCTAAATCACTAACGCAAAGCCTCCTGTCATGAAACTTGGAACTTTCTGGTTCCACTTTTTGGACAGACTGTTGAGTGCAGAAGACTTCCAGTCTGAATTTCGTGACCACGATTAAGTCGGATACAACTGCTGAGCTTTCAGCTTCCGGCCACGTTTTTTTTGACCATTTTACAGCTTGAGGTGTTAACTTCTCAAGCGTGAATATCATTTTAACGTACTCTTACTCAGCTTTCATACCTTTTTTAAATAAACGACAACAAACAACGACCTAAAGTTTAGGTCGACGTCCAGTGACTATTGAATTGTCGAAACATTCTCCTTCCTGAGGTAAATTTCGGTTTTAAAACCAGAAGTTTGATTAACAGCTCATAATTTCCAGGTTTCCGGTTAAGTGCTCCAACAAAATTTGATACAATTCCGTCTGTACACATTTTGAATTTATCAGGTGGCCAGATATAAAGCTCATGGGTTAGTATTTAGACAGACATGCTTTAGCATTCCGGTGTCCAGTGTTAATGAGACAATAGACTCGTACATGGAGATGCTAGTTTGTATACATGGTCGTCTTTACTATGGAGGGTTGAATTTATCAGGTGGCCAGATATAAAGCTCATGGGTTAGTATTTAGACAGACATGCTTTAGCATTCCGGTGTCCAGTGTTAATGAGACAATAGACTCGTACATGGAGATGCTAGTTTGTATACATGGTCGTCTTTACTATGGAGGGGAATTTTAGTAGCTCAGGTAGCATAGATGGTCGATAGTTTGATTGCAATCGAACTGCCCAGCCCAAAGAACAAACCAACGGCCATGGGTGTCTTTATTTGAGTGTCAGCTTAGTCCTAGGGACTGATGGGTTAACAAGTGCTCTAAAGTGAAGCCTCTTGTCTTTTCAACAAGTTTCTTCTTTAAATTACATTTCCTTGTTTTTCCATGTTAAGATAACTAATCTAAAATAGAAGGCAGGCCTTCATCTCATCAACCCCAGAAGGCCATTTATCTTCCCTAAGTTTTATGAGTTTTGCCGAATCACTTTGTCAGTTTCAGAGTGAAAAAAAGTTTCAATCAGGGAGGAAATGAAACCAAACAAGATTTATTATTATTATACCGCTTTTATGGAAGTGTAACTGGCAAGCGGATACCGGGCTGGCCTAATGTACTAGTGCTAATGGAACCAAGAAGGTAAACAGTCGAAATGTGTTTCTTATTTAATCGCGGTCTGCTTTGCAAGTTTTAAAATTTGAGAAATCTATGGTTCAAAGATATAACGACAGTTATACCTGTCTTATTTTAGTTGTATGACACAAGACTTTTGGAAATGACGTTTGAACAAAAGAAAACGAAAGAGGCTGATGAGATCAAAATTCGGCCTCTTGAAAAATCGTTACAAGAAGCAACAACCGAGTTAGCTCTGTGTCAGTATAAACTTGAAGATGCAAATATGACGCTTAACTCACACAATTCTATCGCCATGGACACACTGCTGTTGGAAAATGACGGACTGAAGCTGAAACTTGAAGAGGCTGTGCGTGTGAACGAAGAGCTCATGCGAGAAAAAGAAGGTATGTTGCAAGTTTATGAAAACAGGAATTGCCAGAACACCTTCATGCAAGGTATGATCGGGTTTCTGAAAACCACACCGGGCGGAAGTTTCATTTTTGTGCGAAGCATCAATGATTATTAGGGATGAAGAACCCAACTGCTTTTTAATAATTAGAGAGTGTGCTTGGATGAATTTCAGCAGGTGGAAATGCTAAACTGCTTTGTTCATCGGATGAAACAATGAGACTCAAGAGATGATATGTTTCGTCCGGTCACCATCTCTTTTCATGAAAAAAGATATGTAAAAATACTTGATCTCAAGAGTGTGAATCCTTCTCCAAAAGGTAACATAGAAGTCGCGTAGCGGTGGTTGATTACTGTAATCAACATGATTGATACTATAGTCCCTTTCAGCTTCCGGCCACGTTTTTTTTGACCATTTTACAGCTTGAGGTGTTAACTTCTCAAGCGTGAATATCATTTTAACGTACTCTTACTCAGCTTTCATACCTTTTTTAAATAAACGACAACAAACAACGACCTAAAGTTTAGGTCGACGTCCAGTGACTATTGAATTGTCGAAACATTCTCCTTCCTGAGGTAAATTTCGGTTTTAAAACCAGAAGTTTGATTAACAGCTCATAATTTCCAGGTTTCCGGTTAAGTGCTCCAACAAAATTTGATACAATTCCGTCTGTACACATTTTGAATTTATCAGGTGGCCAGATATAAAGCTCATGGGTTAGTATTTAGACAGACATGCTTTAGCATTCCGGTGTCCAGTGTTAATGAGACAATAGACTCGTACATGGAGATGCTAGTTTGTATACATGGTCGTCTTTACTATGGAGGGGAATTTTAGTAGCTCAGGTAGCATAGATGGTCGATAGTTTGATTGCAATCGAACTGCCCAGCCCAAAGAACAAACCAACGGCCATGGGTGTCTTTATTTGAGTGTCAGCTTAGTCCTAGGGACTGATGGGTTAACAAGTGCTCTAAAGTGAAGCCTCTTGTCTTTTCAACAAGTTTCTTCTTTAAATTACATTTCCTTGTTTTTCCATGTTAAGATAACTAATCTAAAATAGAAGGCAGGCCTTCATCTCATCAACCCCAGAAGGCCATTTATCTTCCCTAAGTTTTATGAGTTTTGCCGAATCACTTTGTCAGTTTCAGAGTGAAAAAAAGTTTCAATCAGGGAGGAAATGAAACCAAACAAGATTTATTATTATTATACCGCTTTTATGGAAGTGTAACTGGCAAGCGGATACCGGGCTGGCCTAATGTACTAGTGCTAATGGAACCAAGAAGGTAAACAGTCGAAATGTGTTTCTTATTTAATCGCGGTCTGCTTTGCAAGTTTTAAAATTTGAGAAATCTATGGTTCAAAGATATAACGACAGTTATACCTGTCTTATTTTAGTTGTATGACACAAGACTTTTGGAAATGACGTTTGAACAAAAGAAAACGAAAGAGGCTGATGAGATCAAAATTCGGCCTCTTGAAAAATCGTTACAAGAAGCAACAACCGAGTTAGCTCTGTGTCAGTATAAACTTGAAGATGCAAATATGACGCTTAACTCACACAATTCTATCGCCATGGACACACTGCTGTTGGAAAATGACGGACTGAAGCTGAAACTTGAAGAGGCTGTGCGTGTGAACGAAGAGCTCATGCGAGAAAAAGAAGGTATGTTGCAAGTTTATGAAAACAGGAATTGCCAGAACACCTTCATGCAAGGTATGATCGGGTTTCTGAAAACCACACCGGGCGGAAGTTTCATTTTTGTGCGAAGCATCAATGATTATTAGGGATGAAGAACCCAACTGCTTTTTAATAATTAGAGAGTGTGCTTGGATGAATTTCAGCAGGTGGAAATGCTAAACTGCTTTGTTCATCGGATGAAACAATGAGACTCAAGAGATGATATGTTTCGTCCGGTCACCATCTCTTTTCATGAAAAAAGATATGTAAAAATACTTGATCTCAAGAGTGTGAATCCTTCTCCAAAAGGTAACATAGAAGTCGCGTAGCGGTGGTTGATTACTGTAATCAACATGATTGATACTATAGTCCTTGCTCTATTCTCTTGTTTTAATATTCCATATGCTATACGTAGACGCCAATTCGAATACATACGTGCGACTTGTTACGCTGCACTGAATTCTGGATTTCTAGTTCGTCTGGTTATACTGATGTACGTGCGGAACCTAATTCTCACAACTTCCCATTTTATCTCTTTAACGATCAATTTTCCGGTGTCAAGCTCCCCTAAAGTGACTACAAATCCCATTTGTTTGTCTGTTAATTTTCAGATTTTTTCACCTGTTGACTTTTTTGACAGCCATGCTGAACTATGGGTCCTTGGACATAAATGTGGTTATGTGGCCAGGTTGTGCAAATATGATTGCAAACGAGGTAAATTGACCGAAAATGTGGGTGGTAGTGCTCCAAACTAAGCGCTTTTTAAGAGGGTGGCAAAATAAGTCTGGTGATTTAGATATTGCCCAGACGTAAATGTCGTTCGAAGCTCGGTTCCATTAAATGGCAGTAAAATCTGATGAAAATTGTGTAATTTGACAGTATAGTATGATCAGGCGGCCCGTGCAATATAAAACCCTAATAGGGGACGTGGAAGCAGCTTCTTGCTCTGGTGACTACTTGCCAGAAGCAAACTTTTCTAGTATTTTACTATTTAAGACAATTAGGCGCACTCAAGTGTTATAGTTCCTCTTATCCACGGGCAGCGCAAGTTGGCATCATTCATGATTTAACTTCCAGCTGATTGTGTAGGAACCTACAGCCGGAAGGGCTTTATCTGGAGTGATCAATTGGTTGTGAATGTGACCAGTGATTAATTTTAAACTGCTTATCACGCCTCTTTCAACTCCAGATGAGCGCGTTTGAAAATCTTTTTTTTTTGAATACGTGACTATGTACGACCGACCAGTATCGTCAAAATGCTTGCATCTCATCACACGTTTCTTCGCTTTGTTTTAACTGAGTGAAAGAGGATCGATTGCTTATGTTAAGTTAGCTATTTTCGGCAACCAAAATGTCATACGGCTATATTTTACTGGGTGCTGTCAGCAGTCGTCCCAGAGTGGCTCTGCTTTTACCCAACTGTAACAATTGTAGAAAGTTTAACGTGGCGCGAACAGCACGACACGCAATTTATTTATCAGATGGCTGCCTGAATTCAAGTGGGTAACAAAGCTGTACAAGGTTACGAGTGCTGCACTCTATTAGCTAAGCTGCCCAAGGTTTATGGATTAAAAAGGATTCACTCACATTCTTATTTACTACCTGAATAACGAAAGCCCTGCTTTTAGTATTTTAGAAGTCAATTGAAAACAAAATATGAAAACGTTTGAAATATAGTGTATGTAAAATTGGGTTCACAGTAAGTTAGCTAAAACGATTAAGTAAATATCCTCTAGAAGAAATCCCAGCCATTAGCGAATCAGTTCGTCAGTTTTCCATGACGCGATTTGAATGTGCATTTCCATCCATTTTCTCTCAAAGCTAGCAAGTTATATTGATTATTTCCATCATATGGAAAATTTTTATGCATTTTTTTCAAAGAAAACAAGAACCAAGTAAGTGCAACTTATGCGGAGACCATCAATCGTCTTTCAAACGAACTGAAATCCAAGGATGACGTGTTGGCTCACAAAGACGTCTTGATCAATACTCTCGGGGAGCAGGCCAAGGTAGTCACACATGATTTGATGCAGTTGAAGAAGACTTTTGAAAATCATTTGCACGAGATGAAGGAGAAAACCGAAGCTGATGTGACCAAGAAATGGCAAACAATTTTGAGTGAAGAGAAAGAAATGTATGAGGCGCGCGTGCAGAAGCTGGAAAGTGTGTATGAACAAGCTCTGGAAAATTTGAAAGTCGAGATTTCTAGGCTGACAGATCTTGTGAATGAGGTGAGTTGCCCACCTATGGCTATGGTGGACAACCCCCCAGATATATCGCATGTTAACAGGAATTCATCCTTCTATATTGATGCACAGTTATAACCATGCCTTGGAATAATAACAACGAGATTGTTATCAGGCAGCCGACGATGCATCTAAGAGCTGCCATTTTGAATGGTACTATTTGAAAATCGCCCTTATTTCTGGTAGAAAAAGCCTTAGCAGTAATAGTTTGTGTGTAGCTAAGGAAGCCGTCCTGTTTTTTCCGAATAAAATCGTAACCAGCTTTTAGCTGGAAGTATCATGAGAGTTGGAGAAGGGACTATTAGTGAGAGGCTCTAATCTTCCGGAGTAAACAAGGTGCCCTGATAACCGTAGTAAACCACTATGTGGTGCCAGACAGATAGGAAAAGTAGCTGAACCAACCAAAATACACGCCACACCTTGCATAACGCTCACAAACCAATGATAAGTCGAATAAGACTTGAAAGAGCTGAAGGATTATTTGTTAGGTTGGGACGGAAGTCGATACGCAGTACGCAAAATTCACTTTTGAACACGGGTGCTCACACGTAACATGCAACAGCATGAAATCTAGTGCAAAATAAATGACGTCCAGGGTGGGAATGGAGACAGTATCACCTTAATCCCCTAATGAGTAAAATCTGATGAGTCCATCACAGCTTCTAATGTCCTGCAACATTACAGAAGGATTCAGTGGTTGGTAAAACAGTCCATCTGTCTGTTTTAGTTGTCCCCTGTCAGAGTGGCACCGTGCCCAAAAAAAGAAGTGCGTATTTGCTGATCGAAACTGAGTCAGTGACCAGGTATTGTACCGGAAAACGAGGATTGCTGGTGCAGACAGCGAGCTACTGAACTCAATTAAAAAGAAACGGCTGCTACAGGATGTTTGGTAACATCGCAGACACAGCGTGCACAACAATCAACTTAGATTTTAGTTGGTTTAGGCCAACGTCACAAACCTAGGAGGTTGTTTCGTAACAACCAAATTTTTAATTTACAGCACTACTCTATACTTGAAAAATCACTCGGAGCGTGGTGTCGAAGAGATTTCTTTTATTATGAAGTATTTCGCACCGTTGATCAGCAAATAATGACTAGAAAACCTGAAGTGTGGGAAACTGGAGGCCTTGTTTTCGGTAAGCTCGACAAAAGCATGACAAATTCGTTTCCGATTACAACGATAATAGCCTTTCGGTGCAACCGATATACGGTACTACCCCTTGTTAGTATGTGGGTACAAAAGTATGATACTTCGAGATATCATTTAACTATTGAAGGGCATACATGCAAAGTTAATTAAAACTCCACGGGAATCCACATGCGGTCTATGAAATGGGCAGAAAGTGATACGTAAAAGAACGGATCTACCGGGAAAAGTTAATGGTGTGTTGTCGGTGAAATTCAATTAATCTTTCCAAAACGCTGTGCGAATCATTTCCTGATATTATTATCATATCACTAGTGCATTTTGTCTTAGAAGATGTATCTATTCTTCCGATTCTTTGGAACATTGTTCTACTTTGATATAGCGAATTGATGCCTCAGTTTTTCTCAAGGAATTTGGCCAAAGTTTATAACAAACCAACGGCAAAGCAAATGCAACCGGGTGATCTTGGTTGCGAAAGATCGCTAAACTGTAGTCCGCGCTTCCTCATTTGGTCGCTTTTAAGTAAATTTAAAAAAAATATGGCTAGTTGTGTTTACTAGAACGAATGGAATGGAATGTGAAAAAAGGGTAGTCTCTTTTTGTAACTGTAATTAATGAAGTAAAGCTTGGTTAGCCAGAATTAGGAGGAAATCAGTCAAAGAAGATAAAACAGAAGCCTTGAGCTTTATTTCTGTCTTAGACACACATCAATAGCAATTAGTTTAACTAAAAAGCCGTTTCTCTTAGTGAAACTTCATTAACTTGTGCAAATTTGGTTGTGACAAACTTAGTAAAACCACAAAACTAGAGAAGGGGGCAACGCAGACGTATTTGGAGCATGGGTGCGTAAGTCACTATCGCAAATGCGCCCAGGTCTGGTTCTTTCTCTGCGAAAACACTCGTGAATCAACAAAGCACAAGTATATATAATCCCTATGCCGTCACATCGGTCATCCTCAGACAGATGTCCCTACTAAACGCTAGCTCAATATAACTACTGTTTGTTTGGCGACTGTCTGTTACTGCGTTCTCAAATGGTGCTACGTGTTCTTCAGAGGTCTTCGGCAATTCCAAAGGTGAACATAAATGCAATTTAGGGTGGTGCCTCCGGGTGATATGTTAGGTCATTTTAAGCATTCTTGCACTGATCCTATTACCATCACCTCCAAATCCGGTATGTAGTATATGTGTGGTTTTGTTAATTTTTGTCTCGCCTTTTTTTATTGCCTTGATTTTTATTGAGGTGTCACATGCTTACTGATACGCTACACATCAGTGTTAAGCTAGATAGCAGACAAGCAAAACATGGATAAAACACGTCCGCAATTACGGCTAATTGTGTTCTAGCTCTGAACTATATACAATATTTTAACTGTTTGTAGCTTGAGAGCGGAGTCTTTCTATTCAGCAACCAATCCCTGCTCTCAGAAGGCTCTCAGAAGGAGCGGTTTCTTAAAAAACGATAACCAATTCGGCAGTGTGAATGCCTCTTTTGTTGGACGCTGAAACTGATCGGTGATCTGAATCTTGTAATTGCTTATTTTACGGTTGATAGAAAGCATTTTGTCAATATCCACCCAAAACTGGAGCAGAAACAGCCCCGGCAAATAGTCACGAAAGCCCTGAATAAGGTACAGACGTATGTTAGGAATTATCAGCTTTTTGAGGAAAATAAAGAACAGAGCTTGATAGTTATGCTATCAGAGTGTGTTGGGTCATCAGGATGACTTTTAGTAGTAGCTTAGAAAAAAATTGCTTTGCAAAAATAACTGATAATTTTGGTAGCCAGAAAATGCTGGCCATCATAATAGAGTAGGGAAAAAGCTTCTGTACATTTCCGATACCTACAAAAGGTAACGCTGGGACGCAAGAATAATTTGATAAAGGTACAGTAATACTAGCAGTATTGACAAACGTGATCTTACATGACGGAACGACCTTTACTCTTTACATTCTTTTCAAAAGGATGGTTCGTTACTGGAGTATCCGGAACAGGCTGGTAGACAGTTTAGTCGGTTGCGGTTAAATGAGAATAAGTTGAGAAAAGCTTCCCAGTGGGTTTCAAGCGTGTGTCACGCTACATGACTGGGAAGGGTGCCCATTATCTGCACAATGCTCTCAGCTGCAAAACCTCTACAAGTGCAGTAAAACTATCTGTGCCAAAATGTCGTATTTTGTTGCGAATGAGCTCAAACCGAAAACCGTTTTAATCTACCATTTTATTTTTGCACCTTACCAAATTTCATTGTTCACTGAAGCAACCATGCCTCTGGCTGAAAAGTCATGTGGGATGATTTCCCAGCATCACTGAGACCCCGGGATGACTAAATGGGGCTCAAAAATTTGGACTGGTACTCTCGACTCAATTGCCCGATTGCTTCAGTCCATCAGAGACAAGTCATAACTTTCGAAAATTCAATTCCATTGTGCGAATACTGAGCGCCGACTGGGAAGTCCTGACTGGCGGGTCAATCGATCGTCACAACCAGGACAGTTACTGGGTTTTCGTTCGATGAGTCGGGCACACCAATCACATCACTCAAGCGTGAACACATTCGCCTGTTCAGACGCGTCCAACGTGCGTTGGTAGAGTAGTGGTTACACCTCGCCTCGCATGTCAGGTTTTCGGGATTTAAATCCCGGCACGACCACTGGATACGCACTGCTGATGAGCTCCTCAAGAGCGAGATTCGAGTCCACTGTTCTCCTTTGGTGTGGACTCACCGGAATAATTACGCTAGAACAGGAGGACGGCTGTTCAAAGGAGAGTAGTGTGACTATGAATAAATGAGAATAGTCGACTTCACTGCATCATTACAGACGGAGAATCCCGGTATTGTCACTGTCTTCAAAGTTAATACTGACTGGCGCGGAAAAAAAAGCGGTTTCTCCTTAAGTGGCTATTCACGAAGGTGCTGGTGGTGATGGACTTCACCATCAGCTTGAAGTTCACAACAAGGATACAACTGTCAACGTTGATACACATAGTCCTTTGCATAAATATCAACGTTAACAACCACCAAGAGAATGTTCTTTGTACTGTGAAAACTTTCTTACGAACCAGATCTTTGCCCTGCTGTACTGTGTGCTCTTTTACGTGGGGTTGTTCAGCTGCCTCACATTTATGGGTAAATGTAGTTTTGCTTGTCCCCACTTATCAGGTAATCATTTCGCTCCCTTAAAGGGTTTATGAATCATCGTAGCCCCTCAACGAAGGCCAATTTCTCCAAATGCTGTGTAACTGTGCTGCAGCTATCTTCACTTCATGAGTGGTCCCTATTCCAGGGGAAACTGAATGTTGCAAACGCAAATCGTACCACTGAAACTTTGAAGTCTGACCAGAAAAGTGAAAAACGCACTAAACTGTCCCAATAAAACATCAGTTTCCATGAGCATCCTGCTGATTTTTTTGTAAACTTTCATGGTATTCTAGGCTGGGATGAGCCTAACCGATTAATCATTTTCATTTTTCCTAGTGAAACAGGAATCTCGAATTTGTGTGATAGATGCAGCTGCCACATAATTAGATCATACAGCCTAAGTGAATGACTGTTACCCCAGCATGGTAGCAGAATGTCTAAATTATTTCAGTACAACCCAAGTTTTGTTCTGAAACGCTCGTCACAATACCAAGTTACCATGTATTTTGAAAATCAGAGAGGCTCGACCTCTACACCCACTTAGTTAGTGAGCAGAGAGACATCGAAGAAGTCATCAAATGGTATTGACAACTTGAGATTCCTGCAGTGATGGCCATGAATTTGTAAAGAACAGCAAGTCAGTGAATCGCGGTCACTAGTTTAGTTCCCATGTCTCCCTCGCGATATACTGACGTGAGAGTTTGGTGAACAGCTATAGCAATTTTAATCCAGTCATCTGACATAAGCATTCCTCTTAGTTTCGCTTCATTACCCTCTTCCATGCGCTATCAAAATACCTAGCCATTTTCTCTCATTCACCCAAGCCCATCACATCTTTGAAGTGCTCCACCAAACTGTGGCGGTTTAATATGGAGGTGGCTTATAAGGGGTAACTGTAAGTTCCGCAGTATTTAAGAATAATCTGCCACAGCATAGTGAGCAGTCTCTTGAAAAAAGTTTGCCTGGACGTAATTCGTGAGAACCGTCTTCCTCCGTACTTAATGGCGGAAATATTACATGCAGTGCCAAGTTGAAACTATCCAGCACCATTAAATATAGAATATTTAAACAAGCTGCCTCCGATGTTAATTAAATTCCAACAGCAGTGTTGGAAATTTTCATAAACCTTCAATGTCATTCGTGGACGCAGTCATATTTTGCCTGACGAACACTTTTCACAACAGTCTTCCACATGCTTCACCTCGATTTCTTACACTTTAGGAACAAGAGAAAAACTTGCAGTCAGAGGAAGCTCACCGAGAAAGCATTTCCAAAGCGAACAAGGAACTGACAGTGTTAATCCATGAGACAGAAAATATAAAAGCACGAATGACGGAGGAGCATCGACTTCAAATCGCGGTTTGTTAATATTAGTTTTCTGTGGTATAACATATTTTGACTGTGTACTTTAATGTATGGTTGCCAGAAGAATAGGCACCCTAGCACTCGAAGAATGTGAGTTTTGGGCAGCACGAAAGGATACCAATTTGAGTATTTTTGTCAGAAATTAATCACTTTGAGAGAACAAAGTGATATAATAAGACTATAGTTGTTAAGTTGGATCATTCGCATGAATTTGCGACTCAACGTCATTCCATATCCGCCTTACTAGAACATAATTACAGAAATTCAATTCCAGCTTGAGTTTTTATCCTTAGTCTTTAAGGTGAAGCGTTGTAGTGAGCATTAACGGTAAACTGTCCTAATTATTATGCATTGTACCGTATTCTGTGGAAAACTATGTGTTGATGAATAGAGACTCAATTTCTAGCTGGCTAGACGTCACTGGACAACAAACTTGAATGCTCATGAGACAGTAATAAACTGAGTGGAGTTACCAACACATTCTTACTTGCCAAATGCTCCAGGTAGCATATCGAGATATGATTATTTCACTTTTTTATAAACCGTCAAGCCCGTGAATCAGCTTACACTGAGCAGAAGTCATCCCATTTCTTCAATACATATTTGCCACTCATGAAGGTAGTGTACGCAAATTCACTATGGTAGAAACTCTTGGGTTGTACTCAGATATATTCATTCAGGGATGGCCCTTGTGACGGAACTGAATCAGTGCCACTTGCGTCAATCAAAAGAAATTTCGTTACCATCCGGTACTTCTCACAATGTTTGTCAATACTTGGGTCTTCTAAATTAACTGTTTTTTTCTGGTACTTTTGTGTGTACTGTGATTCATACCAGTGGGGGTGTGACTAAATTAATCCTTTTAAAGAGGTGATTCGTTTCGCGAAAAGTAACTGCCACTCTTACTTACAAGTTTGTTGTAAAGGATGCTTATTGTTTTTTAGATTTTGAAAAACCGTTTCCGTTTTTGTCTCCACCTTTAACGATTTGGCAACCTTGATCTCTAGGTATGCCTATTTTGAAGAACTCATTTTTCATCGATCCATATGTCCTGATGTTCAGTAGATCACCACTGTGCCCTTTTCAATGCACCTCGCGATTTGCCAAAATTTACGCAAATAGTATTTGTGAATCCTTTTTACCGCCGTGCTCTTCAATCAGTGTCAGCGATACGCACTTGGATAACCTAATAAGGATGCTTTCATTATCTTTCTAAGAAGCCAATAGTCGGGATAATCTATCGACACCCTCTCAGCATCTGGGAGGCTGTCTGAATGGCTGATTTGTGGAAGTTCTGTATGTGGACTGCAGCTGAGATTTGCTGTTGGTTATTTGATTTTCATCACATATATATAGTGAGTAGCTGGCACCCAAATCGAACTTTTTAATCCACAGTAGTCAAAGCGCGGGGCGGCTGCACATAGCAAGAGTGCCACGGACGGTACAGACTGAGCCGAAGTAATGCTGCACGCAAGCTCATTGAGCTGATGTGGACACAAGGGAATAACAATTAAAGGCTAATGTACAGAAGCCTTCTGCAAACCATCAGCTAGCCTAAACATGACGGAATAACGGCATGATGGTGCCGGTACTAGTTACGCGCTTATCATTGAGGTACCGCTGTCATCCGTGTATTCCACTGAATAACAGAGGAATACATACATTAATGTGGATACAGCACAGATACATATGGGGGGCTGCATCCGCCTGTCACAGCAAAGTCAGCCAAAATGCCGCAGCCACACAATAGATAATAACATGTAGGTTGCTCTGGTCTGCACGAAAAATTCAGACGCAGAGCTTACGAAAAACGGTTTGGTCAGTGCTGATTAAATGTGTTCTGGACCCGCACATAAGGCTAGTCAGTGGTCGCTGTTATTCAGCTTGGTCTGTACAGCCTTGGTTACAGAGAGCTACTTCTAAAACCGTTTCACGTTCAACATTCCGGAATTACCAGGGTGCTGGGGTGGGTCATCTGCGAATTTGAATTAGAATATTCATATATAAAATACGCCAAACAGAACTAAAAACAGTATTCAGTAATATATTGCAATGAATGCAAAGTAAATCTGCGTTAGCAACGACAACAAATGAGCAAGCCGGCAATCTACCACAGCAGCGTTTACTGACGAACTCCTCAAGCCTCTTCTAGGCTTTGGCGGTGGTGACGGACATGTATATATATATGTT